CCTCCGCCCCTCACTCACTCCCCTGGCAGACCACAAGCCACGGTTTTCTGAGGAATGAATTCTTGACGTTTCTTCATTAATTCAAGAATGTGATATAAAGGTTACAAAATGACCCAGGCGAGCAGCTGCTTTGACAGTGAACTGGTCCCTTCCCTGGGGAGTCGGCAGTGCTCTCTCCTGCAGTAGCTTTAATGACTTCAAATACCTTAGTATTCATTTACATCCTCATTTAAATACTTGGTAGAAAAATAATTACACAGAGGTGTTTGATGAGATGAAATCTGATCTCAGCAGATGGAGTAGGCTTTCTCTTTCATCAGTGGGGAAACCAAGTGTCATTTAAATGAAAATCTTCCTGAAATCTCTTCATTCCTAAATTTGCTGTGAATATCCCCTGAGGAAATGCTTCCATCAAAAAGGCCTAGGGAGATGGGAAAGGATACTAATTCCCTAAGTAATTGTTGTTAGGTATGGTAAGAATTTTTTCCCCCTAAGCCCCTTTGTTAACACTTTATGTGACTTCCACATTTTGGTTTGAATTATTACACAAAGATGGGCTTGAAAATGGCAGTTGTCCAGCTATCATTTTGGATTCAGTTCTGTGTCCTACTAATGGGGTAGGAGAACACCATCCACCCCAATTCTGGCCTTGCAGTAACCCACAGTGTTAACCGTGGGTCTAAAAGACAGTGAGACAGTAAGTGGTATGCTTCCCATCCTGCTTTCCCAAGCTGGCATTTCCTTGCAGTGAGGCACTTGAGTTCCCAGTCATTGCGGAAGCTAGCGTGGGTGGAGAAAAAGAGTGCAGTTTCATCCACTGTTTCCATGGAAGCAACATACGATTCTTAGCACTTAGCACAGAACTGAATTTCAAAAGGGGTGACTTTTTGCAGGTAGTTGGTGTTGAAAAATAATTTTCCTGCCAGAATATACTATGAGTTCATTAGCCTGTTCTTACCCTTTAATTTTATTTACTTTTATTTGACTTATGCCAAGCAAGATCCTGAACACTCAGGTCTGGATTTCCTATGGAATTTTCCTAACATCATGTTTAAACTCTGTGCCAAGTGGGAAGACCATGGAAGAAGCAGAGTTGTTGCTACTCAGCTCTTCAGTCTGTGGCTCACCTTATAACCCAGAGCACCATTCCTTTTGCAGCTAGTCATGCTGCTGGCTGCAGCAGACTTAGTGATGACTCAAAAGGTGATTCAGGGGCAGGATATTTTAATGCAACCTTCTGTGGTGGCACCCTGGCTGCTCCATAATTTCTATTACACTGTAGGCTGAAGGGCCAGCTGAATTCTCTGTGGCGAGTAGGAGGGGAAGTGGGGCAGCTGCACACGCTGTGGCTAGCAGGCAGTGGAGAGTGTCCCAGCCTCCTATGCACAGAGACTGGCAGCCCTGTCTCAGCTGGAGCTTGTTTCCTGAGGCAAATGATAACCAGGCTTCTTGACTTTCATCTTAGCCCTTTGTTTTGAGGGTCAGGTGGACTAGTCTAGAGTTGTGTATATAGAAGGGTTGCCAAAACACAAAGAAAAGCAGAATATATCCTAAAAAATATTATGTTGTACCTTAACTCTTAATAAGAGTTAAAGGAAACAAAAATTATCTATAAACTCTTTGAGGAAAGCAATATGTCTAACAAATAAACCACTCTGTATAGCCTACATTCTTTTCCGGGAAAACCCTAAGTCATTCTTGTTATGCTCCGTGTAGCCGATAGGTAGCATAAAATGATTTGGGAAGATATGATGCTTAGATGAACCCTTGTCTAATATCTTGGGACAATTTCAGGCAATCACCCTTAAAACCTACCATTTCATTCTTTACGCCTCCCATGCTTCTCTTAGGTGAGATGCTAGGACTGAGGTGGAACCAGTATCAGAACGATTCAGCTGTTCAGCCAAACATTTTGTGTGTGTGTTTGTGTGGATGGACCACACTTTACCGCTTGCTGGCCTTTCAGGCTCCATAAGCACTCTTAGCACTACTCTCTTAAACAGCTGACCACCATGGCTTTGTAGAGTCAGATACTGCTGTTCTGAGTTAAGTGCTTAACAGGAACTCTGAATTTTGGCAGAATTTATTGAGAATTGGTAAGATAGTTAACCACTGACTAGTTTGGTCTAAGAAATTATATTCTTGTATTGTTTCCCCCCCTCCAGATATATAATGCTACAAAAGAGATGTCTAATATTACCAACTATCAGTCTGTCCGCATATTCTCCGTTTCTCTTGCTCAAGCAGAGCAGGAATTGGAGGACCTTGCTGGGATTGGCTTGCCATGGTCTAAGCCCTCTTCAGGTAAGTGCTAAAAAAGTGCTATGGTGGATTAACAGTCATAAAAGCTTGTATGCAGGCATTTAAGATACAGTCATTGGTCTTTGCCTGTCCACAACGAAGAAGAGTGAAGAAAAACCAAAGATGTATAGAAACAGTCCAAAGTACTAATGATCCAGGAGAATCTCAACATCCATAACACTGACACCAGAAGAACCAGATGGTGCCCAGCTACCACTGCTCGTGACTCTATAAGGGATCACAGTAGAAGGTCCTGGATAGAGTAGGGGGAAATGTGGAACAAAATTCACCAGCATAATAAAGGCCAGGCTTGCTGTTTTAATAGAAACTAGTGGTATCCCTGAAACTATGGCTCTTATTCACCTTTTGAACCTAGAACAAAGGTCATTCTTGTGGCTCAACTTTCAGCCAAGCAGTAGACAGGAATATTAAGATGATCAGTAAAACCAAAGAGGCACTTGTTGTTTTTGTCATATGCTGTTGAATTGACTATGACTCATAGTGACCCTATGCTCCAAAACCTGCTCTATCCTAAGCCAATCTCACTGTCTCTGATGTACCTACTCTCATGACCCCAGTTATGGAGTCAGTCCATCTCATCCAGGGTCTTCCTTTCCTGCTTTGACCCCTCACCATTCCAAGCATGATGTCCTTCTCCAAGGATTGGTCACTCCTGGCAATAAGCCCAAAGGATGTGAGACAGAGCCTCCAAATCCTTGCCTCCAAGGAACAGCTTGGGTTCACCTTCTCCAGGACAGACCTATTAATACTTTTGGTATTTACTCCTTAGACTAACAAACCCTGTAAGGTCAAAAGAGCAGCATTTGCCAAGGACAGTGCCCAGAAGGTAGAAAAGGATAAGAGAGAAGGATTAATGGATATGAGACTTACAAGGAGGAAGTGGGAAGAGTATGATTATGCTGAAGATATTGTAATTAATTTAAAATAAAATATGAGAATGGTTGACTGTAAATGGTTAAAGGTGAAACCAATCTGTTCCTTGGAGGTAGGGATTTTGAGGTTCTGTCTCACATACTTTGAGTGTTCTTTCCATTCTGGTTGTTTTGTTTTAAGTATCCTAGTTTCCCTTCCCTGTTATATTCTCACCTTTCTACTAAAGTAATTGTTGACTGTTTTGTTTCTCCTAAGTGAATTTAAAAGGCGTCAGTAGTTACAGGGGATATTTGTTGTTTTTGAGACAACTTTTTATTTAGCTAAGTGGTGTTGTGTTGGAGTTGCATGTGCCGTTGAGTCGCTTTTGACTCACAGCCACCCTATGTACAAGAGCCCTAAATGCTGCTCTATCCCTGTGCCAACCTCGCAGTCTCCGACACACTCATTCCCACCGTCCCAATCACAGAATCAAGACATCTCATCGAGGGTCTTCCTCTCCTGCCCCATCCCTCCACTCTTCAAACATGATGTCCCTCTCCAAGGACCATTCCCTCCTTCCAACATGCCCAAAGTATGTCAGATGAAGCTTCAGAATCCTTGACTTCCAGGAGCATTCCGGCTTCACCCTCTCCAGGTCAAACCTGTTTGTTCTCTTAGCGGTCTGTGGTGTATTCAACACTCTTTTACAGCACCACAGCTCAAAGGCATCAATTCTCTTTCTATAATCCCTAGTCACTGTCCAACTCTCTGATGCATAGCACTTAATTGCGAAGACTATAGCTTGGATCAAGTGCACCTTAGTCTCCAGGCTGACATGGTTGCTCTTCAGTACTCTTGAGAGGTCCCTCACAGCTGACTTTCCCAATGCAATTTGTCTCTTGATTTCCTGGCTTCTGGAACTAAGAGTGTTGACTGTGGAGAAGAGTGCTAAATACCCCATGAATTGCCAAAAGAACAAATAGAATGTCTTGGGAAAAGTGCAGCTAGAGTGCTTCTTGGAGGCAAGGATGGAGAAGCTTCATCTTACATACTTTTGGGCATGGTGTTAGGAGAAGCTGTTCCTTAGAAAGTGACATCATGCTAGGAAAAGTGGAGGGTCAGCAAAAAAGGAAGACCTTCAACTAAAATTATAGACAGTAAATGCAGCAGCGGGCCTCAAGTGTGTGATGATGAGGATGGCGCAGTATAGAGCTGGTTCAGGTTTGTTGTTTATGCAGTCACTGTGAGTTGTACTTGATTTGACAGCACCTAACAACAAAAATAATTTGAGATTAGTTTTAATACAAGTTAAGGGACTTTGTAATTCTCTAATATAAACTAATCCAGCATGTCTGTTTTCTGTTACTTGTTTTAAGGAATCTGAGGTTACAAAGTTCCCCCCGTTCTATTAAGATCCATATATTGTGGCCCTGATTAGAATAGCTGGTAGTAGTAGCTGACAGCATCTAGTTCTTCTTGACTTAGGGTAGACAGCCCATGTTTCATGGAGACTTAGAAGACTGGTTTTTTCTTTGAGACTTCTATTTTCTCTGCTTTTTGTTTTTCTTTCTTTTGTGCTGGATTGTTGTTGTTAAGTGATGTTGAGTTGACTATGACTTATAGTGACCCTATGAACAATAGGTCTGAACTCCACCCTTTCCTGTGCCATCTTCACTATCTTTGAGACAGTTAAGCCCTCTGTTGTAGTCACTATACTAATCCATCTTGGTGACAGCCTTCACTTCCTTTGCTGACCCTCCACCTTTCTGAGTATGGTGTCCTTTCTCAGAACTGGCCCCTCCAAACAACATGCCCAAAGTATGTCAGACAAAGTTTCACTATCACTGCCTCAAAGGAGCACCCTGGCTGTACCTTTTCCAAGATATACTTGTTTCTCCTTTTGGCGTCCATGAGATATTCTGTGCTTTCTCCATTACCACAACTTAAAGGCAGCAGTATTTCTTCTGTCATCCTTTTCATTGTCCAACTTTCAGATGCATAACAAGTAATTGAAAAGACCAAGGCCCAAATCAGGTGCACCTTAGTCTTTAAGCAGACATCATTACTCTTCAGCATATTGGAGAGGTTCTTGACATCAGACTTTCCCAATGCAATATGTCTATGATTTCCTGGTTGCTGTTGCAAATGGTGTTGACCATGGATCCAAACATCATGAAGTCATTGACAATTTCAATCTTTTCTTCATCTGTCATGATATTGCCTATTTGCCTGGTGGTGAAGATCTTTGTTTTCTTTTTTTCAACATAAACATGTTTTAAATTTCTTTCATTTTTACACATTTCCTTCCCTCCTTTCCCCTCCCCTCTCCCACAGCCCTTAAATGCACCCCTTGTTCCAGATTATTGTCATACATATAATGCCTAATCATATATTCCTTTCAGATAATTTTCCCCTCACCTGATCTAATGCTGTGTACATTATTTATCCACTCTTTCCATATTTTCTCCCCAAGACCCCCATGTCTGTCTTGTTTTATAACAGCAGTGTTACACAATATTTGATTTTTTATGACTGAGATATTTCACTCAGCATAATGTCCTCCCGGCTTCCCTATGTTATACAATGTTTTACTAGTTCATTGTTTTTCAGTGCTGCATAGTATTCTATTGTATGACTGTACTGTAGTTTTTCTATCCATTCATTTGTTGATCAGCACTTGAGTTGCTTTCATCTCTTTGCTACTTTGAATAATGTGGCAATAAATAGGGGTGTGCATACATCTGTTTGAGTCACAGTTCTGGTTTCTTTAGGATATATTCCCAGTAGGAATTTCTGGGTAAAATAGATGTCTTTTTCCAGCTTTTTTGCGAAAGTGCCAGACCACCTTCCATAGTGGTTATACAATTTTACATTCCCACCAGCAGTGAATAAGAGTTCCAATCTCTCCACAACCTCACTAGGATTTGTTGTTTCCTGGGATTTTTGTTTTTTTAATGTTAAGATGTTCCCCTTATCGAAGGGTATAGTCTTTCATTCTCTCTCCAGCAAGTGTTTCAGGCATATCATCTGCATAATGCAAATTACTGATGAGTATTCCTTGTACCCTGCCACTACATTCTACTTCATACAGAACAGCTTCTTGAATGATTTGTTCTGCATACAGATTCAGTAGGTATGGGGAAAGTATGTAGTCCTGATGCACACCTTCCCTGATTTTAAGCCATGCAGTATTCCCTTGCTCTGTTTGTATCACAGCTTCTTGATCTAGGTATACATTTTGTATGAGCACGATTAAATGTTCTGGAACTACCATTCTTTCCAATGTGAGCCATAGTTTGTTATGATCTACACAAATACTTTTGCACAGTAAATAAAACACAAATAGCCATTCTTCTGGTATTCTCTGCTTTCAGCCAAGACCTACAGCAACAGCAGTGTTATCACGGTGCCATGGCTGCTTCTAAATCCAGCCTGAATTTTCTGGTAGTTCTTTGTCCATGTATTGGTCTAGCCATAAAAATCTTCAGCAAGATTTTACTTATTATGTGATATTAATGATAGTGTTTGGTAAGTTCCACATTCTGTTACATTGCCCTTCTTAGGATTAGAAACAAATATGGATCTTTTCCAATTGATTGGCTAGGTAGCTGGCCTCAAAATTTTCTGGCATAGCTTAGTGTGCACATCTATGGCTGCACAAATATGTCAACTGATACTCCATCAATTCCTGAGGCCTTATATTTTGCTAATGACTTCAGTGCAGCTTGAACTTCTTCCTTCATCACCATTGGCTTTTTTTTTTAAATACAGGGTTGTTTAAATATTTTTTAAAATTTTGTTTGTTTTTTCTTTTCTTGTTGTGTACTGTCAAATAGGATCCGATTGTCACAGGAGAATATTGTCCCCTCTTCTCCAGCGGAGCATCTGGTGGATTTGAACCATGTGCCTTCGGGATTACAGCACAGCTTCTTGCCACTAGGCCAGAGCTCCCTTCATCATCATTGGTTCTTGATCATACCTTGCTTCCTGAAATGCTTTTGTGTCTACCAACCCTTTTTGGTACAGTGATTCAGTGTATGCTTTGATTTTCTTTTGATACTTCTTTGATCATTCAGTATTTGGCCCATAGTATCCTACAGTATTGCAGCTTGAGGCTTGTTTTAAAATTTTTCACCTTGAGAAATATCGGATAAGGTCTTCCCTTTTTGCTTTCCAACTCCAGCTGTTTGCACATTCCTTAATAATACTTTGCTTTGCCTTCTCACTCTGGTTTTTGAAATCTTTTTTTCATCTCGTTCACTTTGGCATTTCTTCCCTTTGTTTCGGCTTTTCAATGATCTTGAACAATTTTCAGTCTCTTCTGACGTTCATTTTGATCTTTTATTTCTGCCTTGCCTTTGTAATGACTTTTTGCTTTCTTCATGGATGATTTCCTTGATGTCACCACAGCTCATCAGATCTTTGATTATTGGTGTTCAGTGCTTTAAACCTATTCTTGAGATGGTTTTTCAATTCACATGGGATAGACTCGAGATTATATTTTGGTTATTGTGGACTTGTTTTCATTTTCTTTAGCTTTTTGCTTGAACTTTCGCATGACTAGTTGATGGTCTGTTCCACAGTCAGCTTCTAGCTTTGTTTTGACTTCAGATCTTGAGATCCTTCAACAATTCTTTCCACTGTTGTAGTCAGTTTGATTCCTGTGTGGTCCATCAGGTGAGGTCCATGTGGACAGTCTCCACTTGTGTGTTTTTCCTACATTTCTGTCACCACATCCATAATTTCCAACTAACATTCCTTTTTTTTTAGCCCATTGTTACAGTCACTGTTCCAATCCATCTTTTTGAAAAATCTTTCTCTCTTTCATTGACCTTCCATTTTCCCAAGCATCATGTCTTTTTGCTAGGACTGGCTTCTCCTGACAACATGCTGAAAGTATGTGAGAGAGAAAATTTTACTATCCTTGCCTTTAATATGTTGCTGCAAATGACGGCTATAGCCGTCATGAGCATTTTAATTAATAAAAAAAGCATATCATTCGTACGAAGTGTACTATGCATTTATTTGTTAATTATTTAGCAATACATCAAAAAATGTGTTTCTGAGCACGGTAGTCAATTTAAAACTGTGTGGCAAAAGTGTTAATACGCAACTTAGTTACACTTCCTTCAAGACACATTTGTTTGTTGTTTTGACAGTTCATAAGGATATTCAGGGCTTTTCTGTAACATACAACTTAAAAGGTTCAATTCTTTTCCTATCATGCTTATGCTTTGTCCAGCTCTCTAACACATGGTAAGTAATTAAAAAGACCATGGCTTGGATCAGATGGATGCTAATCTTTAAATTGATATTGTTCTTGAGCACTTTGGAGAGGTCCCTGACAGCAAGTTTTCCCAATACAACAAGACATTTGACTTCTTGACTGCTGCAACCATGAGTGTTGATTGTCAAGCTAAATAAAATGAAATAGTTGGTGTTATGTCTAAGGTCATCAGCCCAAGGTGGAGCCTCAAGTTCAGTGGTCAGTTGGAAGAAAAAGCATGAAGAACCAAGGGAATCTTAGACATCATTTTATTTGCAGTGCACACAGGCTGCAGGGAAGAGAGGTGAGCTGCAAGACTCCAAGTCCCTTGGGAACTTTCCCACAAGGTTCTTGTGCTGAGGACAAAGGAAGAATGCTGCCAAAACATTATCATACTATGCTCCTGCACAGTTACCCTTAGCTTTCAGGAATATTAATTCAACAAAACAATACTGCACTTGCTCAAACATGGCAGTGGTTTAGTAAAAAACTGTTTATCACATATATATGGCACATTACGGTACCAAAATATGCTTGTCGTGTATAAAAAGCACATTACAGTACCCAAATTTGCCTATCATATATATGAAGCACATTTCAGTATTCCACAATTGACGGTTTCAATCTTTATCCATTTATCATGATGTTGTCTTTTGGTTCAGTGGTGTTGTTGTTTACCATCGAGTTAAGTTGTAACCTATTTATAGGTGACCCTCCAGTGGGTTTTCAGAGTCAGTAATTTGCACAAGAGGAGATTGCCTGTTCTCCCATGGAGCAGCTGGCGGATTTCAGCTAGGTTGTGCCTTTGGAATTGCAATGAAGCTTCTTATCACTAGGGCACCACTGGTCGAGTTGTTTGGAGTTTTATTTTCTTGGTGCTGAGATATAATCTGTATTGAAGGCTCTAGTCTTTGTTCTTCTGCAGCAGGGTATTCTTTCTACACACAACATTATTTCGTCTACTTAATGCAGGTTGTTGATGAGTCTTCCTCCAACCTTGATGCTACATTCTTTAAATAGTGAAGAAATCAAAAGATACATTGCATTGAAAAAAATCTGCTGTCAAGGACCTCTCCAAAGTGGTGAAGAGCAGCAATATCAATAAAAACTAAAAGTGCTCCTGATCCAAGGTCCTGGTATTTTCTGTTGCTTCTTATGTATCTGAAAGTTGGACAATAAAGGATGACAGAAGAAGAATGGATATCTTTGAGTTGTGGTGTTGGCAAAGAATATGGGATATCCTGTGAACTGACAAAAGACAAAACAAGTCTTTCTTGAAGAAAGTGCAACCAAGTTTTCCCGTAGAGGGGGATGGTGAAACTGGCTCATATACTTTGGGCATGTTGTCAGGAGAGGCTAGTCCTTGGTTAAAAGATAGTATTCTGGGAAAGACAGAGAAAGGGATGACCCTTAACAAGATGGATTGACCCATTGACTATAAAAGTGGGCTTAAGCATGTGAGGGATTGTGAGAATGGTACAGGATTGGCAGAGTTTATATTTGTTGTTCATGGTTGAAGTGTAGTGGGTCTGTTGCTCAGTTTGACTTTCCTACACCATTGTCTTTGGCCTTGCCATTTCTTTCTTTATGCTTGCTTGGAGAAATACTTCTAATCTGATCCAGCTGCCTCAACTCTGCCTGCCCTGAAAACACTCAGCCTACTGGTAGCATCAACAGCTGCATGAGCCATTTCTCCTCTTGCAAATAGGGCATGCTAGTCTAGTCACAAGGGGATTGGCTAATCTTGCCTTTCATTTTAGCAGATTTAGTGGCAGAAAGAAGGAATCTTAACATTAGGGAAAAAATGGGAAGCATATAACACAGTGCACATCCCTCCTGCCCCAGGGATTGTATCTTGTTAATTGAGAAACTGTCTGGACAAAGAGATAATATCTTGCTGTTAACTGAGAAACTGTCTGGACTGCAGAATTGTATCTTGCTGTTAATTGAGAACTATCTTAGAAGATTGTTTATTGCTGTTAACTAGGGTTGTTAACATGTTGATTTGTGTAATAAACACACAACTGTGAGCATAGTTCAGTGAAGTCTTTGTACTCAGTGCAGCAGTGTGAGAAAACATGCCTAATCTCATGGGGATTAGTTTTGTGTTGTGGATGCTATTTATGGGGGAAGTTTCCCTTTGTGGATTTAGTAGAGGCTGTCCCCACGCTGCCCTTATGGATATTACTGTTTTTACAATAGTGTCATAATGGATGAGTCATATTGGACATACCTTCATGTAATACAATAACAGAAGCAGCACTTTTTTCCCCTTTAGAAAAGGTTCTTCTTAAGACAAATTTGAAGGAGAGAATAATGTCAGGATTAATGAAGAGAGTAACAGTATAGAGGAAGACTATAGTCAGGAAGGGATTTATCTCTTCTTTGAAAAGTTTTAGAAAGGAATGCGGAGTATGACCCATACCCATCCTTTTTATCTAGAACCATCTAGTAACAACATCCACTTTAACCCCTGAACTTTTTTGTGTTTATTTCTTGGAACAGAAAACTCTGACCATGGAAATTTACAGAACATGTCAGCAGTGTGCTGGCTGTTTGGGCGTTACCTGTATGACTCTCTGCAATATCCCATTGGACTGATTGCCTCCAGCTGGGGTGGGACACCCATTGAAGCCTGGTCCTCTGAAAGGTCATTGAAAACCTGTGGAATCCGTCAACAAGGGTGAGAAAGCTCCCCAGATGTTTCTAGAAATGAGCACCCAGTTAGGGGAAATCTCACAAATAGCTGTGTAAGAGAGAGAGAAGGATCCTATTCTCCTTTGGGGAACCCAGCAGAGCAAGTATGATTTAAATGTATGTGTGTGTATTTTGTGTGTGTATGTGTATTTATAAATATATAATATTTATAGCTTATTCCACACAGAGGTAAGATGCTTTCACTGTCATCAGTACCACAAATCTTTTGAGAATATGTCCAGAAGCTATTGTATTCCCTTTCCTTAATAGTACTAGCTAAAACTTACTGAAAACTTTCTATATGTATAACACTCACTTAAGTACTTTATTATCTCATTTTATACTCACAAACTCCATGAAAGATGGAAATTTAATTATAATATGGTTAAAGATGCTACGTCTCAGAGAGACTTTCTTTAATAAGTGGTGAATTCTAGCTTCAATGCTTATATTCCTAACCACTGTGCTGTATTATGTACAAGAGTAAAAATTTAACAAGAACAACAAATACATAAGCATGTAATGAAAATACAGTAATTAATATGCTGACTGTGATAGCATTCTTAGGAAAAGCTAAATCAAAGTGAACTGAGGAAACGGGAAGAAAGGGGAAGGGAAGAAAATGTGCAACAATGAATGAATTAAAAAAAAAGACCAATATTTGGGTGGAGAAAGTGCTAGATAACAAAACGTCTGTTACTATTAACATAGAATTAACGGAATATGAAATTGTTTGTTGTTGGGTTTTTTGTTTGTTTGTTTTTTAGGAGGAACTGAAAAGTTATAATCCACGTTAGTAACAGAATACAGTCAGGACAGCCTCTGAAATGTGTGTGCAGGCAACTCAACATTGAGCTTCATGGCTTTTGGCCAGTGTTCCAAAGTTCTCAGTCCTTGCAATATTGGCTTCCCCTGCCACCTTCCAAGATTTTCCAACAGACTTGGACAAAGGCTCTTACCTTAGCACTGATTCTGTCTATGGGGGATAGCAGGCCCAAGGTCTGCTCTGTTTCCTGCCAGGTTCCTGGTTTCCCACTGTTGCTGTTGTACATACTGCTTTGGCCCTGAAGGAAGAGTTGCATTCTCTTGCTTTTCTTTGCTGGCAATAAGGTTTCTTCTTTCTGCTGCTGGTTCTGTTCAATTTAATCCCAAGACTACCTAAACCCTTGTGGGTTGGTGAGACTAGCCATTCTCCTCATGGATAGATAGACTAACATGCCCTATCTTCACATTCTCACTCATCCACATAGCAAAAGGAAATGCTTTTACTTGTCATTGGCCCTTTTACTCTGGGAAGACCTCCAAGGAGAGGAAGGACTTGAACTCTTGCTATAGCTTGAATAAGAGTTTGCGGTGGGAAAGTTAAGACTTTTGTCTTTGGGACAGAGAGGATGGCTAGTATTAGATTAGGATGGAGCATCAGACTTTCTCAATTTCTCAAATCTCTAGGGCAAGGAGGAATTAGGGTGTGGAGAAAAGGGCATTCTTAAACACAGCTGTTAAGAGCATAAATTCATACATCTATTCTACACAGAAATATGGAAACACATTCAAAGGCTTAAAAAAAATAGGTCTCTTTGAAGAAATGCTCAGAATCACTAGCAAACAGAGATGCAAATCAAAACCACAATGAGATACCATCTCACTCCAGTAGCAGTGGCAAAGTTTAATGGGACAGCAAGTAATGAATTTTGGAGAGGATGTGGAGAGATAGGAACTCTCATACATTGTTGGTAGAATTGTAAATTGGTACAACCACTCTGGAAGGTAGTTTGGCATTTTCTCAAAAAGCTGAACATAGAAATTCTGTATGATCCAGCTGTTCTACTGCTTGGAATATGCCCCAGGAAAACGTGAATTGAGACATAAATGGAGATTTGAACATCAGTGCTCATAGCAGCATTATTTACCATCACAAGAACATGTAAACAGCCCAGATGTCCAACCACAGTAGAAAGACTTGAGAAAGTATGTTACATTCACATGATGGAATACTATAAAGCACTCAGGAGCAATGATTTTGTAAAGAGTACCAGAAGAATGTCTATCTGTGTTTCATTGAGTATGCAAAGGCATTTGACTGTGTAGATCACAATAAATTGTGGCTGACTCTTGAGAAGAATGGAAATCCCAGAACACTTGATTGTGCTTATGCAAAACCTATAATTGGACCAGGAAGCAGTCATCAGAACAGAGCAAGGAAATACTGCATGGTTCAAAATTGGGAAGAGTGTGCATCAAGGATGTGATCTATTTTCAGTCTATATGTAGAACAGATTATCTGGGAGGCTGAGCTCTATGAGGAGAAATGTGGCATCAGAACTGGAGGTAGACTCATCAACAATCTGCATTATGCAAATGACACAACCCTGCTTATTGAAACTGAGGAAGACCTGAAGCACTTGCTGCAGAAGGTCAAGAACTGCAGCCTTCAATATGGATTGAAGCTCAACATCAAGAAAACAGATTCTCACCACTAGGCTGATTGGCAGCATCATGATGGATGGTGAAGAGAATGAGATTTTCAACAGCTTCAGTTTGCTTGGCTCTACAATAAACACTCTTGGTACCAGTAGCCATGAAATTAAAAGACAAATGCATTGAGAAAGTCTGCTGTCAGAGATCTCAACAAAGTACTGAGGAGCAACAATGCCAGTTTGGAGACTACGGTGCACCTGATACAGGCCATGGTTTTTGCAGTTACTTGGTATGCATTAGAAAGCTGGACAATGACTAGAGATGATAAAAGGGGAATTGATGCTTTTGAGCTGTGGTGCTGGAGAAGGGTATTGAATATACCATGGACTGCTAAGAGAACAAACAAGTTCTTCTTGGAGAGGATGAAGCCAGGCTGCTTTTTGGAGGCAACGAGTCTGAAGCTTTGTCTGACATACTTTGGACAAGTCCTTGGAGAGGGCTGTCATGCATGGGAGGGTGGAGAGACAGCACATGAGAGGAAGACCCTCGATGAGATGGATTGATTCAGTGACTGCAGTAATGGGGAGAGGTGTGTTGGAGACAGTAAGATTGGCACAGGATAGAGTAGGGTTTAGTTATTGTGCATAGGGTTGCTGTGAGTCACAGGTGACTTGATAGCACATAACAGCAACAACAGCAACTACCTAACTTGGGAGGGACTGGAGAGCATTATGCTAAGTGAACTAATGTGGTCTTAGAAGGACAAGTATTGTATAAGACCATTATTTTAGAATGAGTATGAGGATTCAAGGGGGGGGGTGAGAACAAAGGGGTGAGTATGACAGCAGGCTGAGGTGGTTTATCATAGAGTTCCACAGTCTGATAGAGGGAGAGGTGAGTGAGACAAATGGCAAAGATATGGTGTGAAAAACAATGTATACAAACCTTGTAAATAAACCAGTATTTATGAAACATAAAAATGAATTTGGAAAATATTGAGAGAAAAAAAATATGTCTTTTGATCCAGGAAATTTCATTCCTCAGAACTTTTCTTAAGGAAATAATTAGGCATATATGAATGATTTAGCTACAAGGATGATAACTACAGCATTCTTTAAGAAAGCAAAAAAGCTTATGACTATCAAAGTGCCTTCTGAACACTAGTTAAATCAATGTGTTGTCTCTGTGAGAGACTCATGATCAAGCTTCTTTTCTCTTGGGCTTTAATTACCTTATCTGGTAGTTAAATAGAATGACCCCCTCTAAACTTACAGAAAGTTTGCTGATACATTTTTCTCTGGAAAGATCTTTCAGGTGAAAATCAGAGACTGTTTTTTTAATTTTTGTTGAGGTTTTAATGAAAGTTTACCAAAGACTTGGATTTCTATTCATTTATTATTGCACATTTTCCTGCCCACCCACCCCACCCACTTGCTTTTCTATTTTAAAAAATTTTTTCATCGTTGCAAAATTTCCTCCCTGCCCCTCAGTCCACCTTGCTATGCACCTCTTATTCTGGATTGTTGTCATGCAAATAATACCTAATCATATATTCCTTTTAAACAGCTCTTTCCCTCATCTGTTTATAATGCAGTGTACATTATTTATCCCCTCTTTTCTTAATTTCCCTCCAACCTCGATGTCAGTCCTGTTTTATAACAGTGGCATTATGCAGTATTTGCCTTTTTGTGACTGAGATATTTCACTCAGCATAATGTCTTCCAGGGTCACCCATTTTGCATATTTTATGAGTTGCTTGTTTTTCAGTGCTGCATAGTATTCCATAGTGTGAATATACTACAGCTTCTCTATTCATTTGTTGATGGGCACTTGGGTTGCTTCCATCTCTTTACTATTGTGAACATTGCAGCAATAAATATAGGTGTGCATATATCTATTAAGGTGGCAATTCTGGTTTCTACAGGATATATTCCCACTAGTGGAATTGTTGGGTCAAATGGTATTTCTATTTCCAACTTTTTGAGAAAGTGCCATACTGTCTTCTGGAGTGTTTGCACCATTTTACACTCCCAACAACAGTGCATAAGGGTTCTGGTTTTTCCACAACCTCGCCAGTATTTGTTGTCTGCTGCTTTGTTGAATTTTGCTATTGTTACTGGGGTGAGATGATATCTCATAGTTGTTTTGATTTGCATCTCTCTTAGAGCTAGGGATTTTGAACATTTCTTCATGTGTATGTTTGTCATCTGAATGTCCTCTTTGGTGATATGTCTGTTCATATCCTGTGCCCATTTTTTCAATTGGGTTATTTACCTTTATCTTGTTGTGGTGCTGGAGTATTCTATGAATTCTATATATAAGTCCTTTATCAGACATGTCATCTATTTAAGTGAAGCAAAGTGACTCACTTTTATCTGGTTTTGCTTTTACCAGAAATTCACCCTAGTAGAAGCGGAAATGCCTCCAGCATAGGATTTTCATGAGATCGTTTGCTAGCTTCTGGTAGTCTTTATGCATCTTATGTATTCCAGAGTCCTCTTACTTGATTCTGTGACTGGCCCTAGTAAGCCTTCTGTGCTTTGGAATGCCATGATCCATCCGCTGAATAACATGACCCTGAAAGGTGTGATATGGTACCAGGGTGAGTATTTAATTTGTAATTTTCCATGGTTATTTGTTAGCTTCTGCTGCCTACCAAATCATTCTAGAACTTAGTTGTTTAAAAGAACTGTATTTTTCTTTAGCTCACTCCCTAGTAGGTTAGTAGATTCTGTTCTAGGCTGGTTCAGCTGATTTCTGCCCAGATCTTTTATGAATCTTTAGTCATTTGGCAAGTTGGTGGATGGTTGATGGAGGATGTCTAATGGCTGGGGGCTGTGTATCTGCTGTGGTGCTATGGTTCTTAAGTGGTCTCTCATCCTCCAGCAAGCTTGTTCAGATGTATTTATGGGGTCATCTCAGGGATCCACATGAATTATGTGAGAGCTTGAACACGTTTGCATGTGTCCATTTAGGCATTCAGAGAGACTGGAAAGGTGTCCTAGCAAAGACCAGGTATGTTTTTAGGTGCCAGTGAATCAAGTATGACCCAGTGAGCAGCAGGTCGGAACACATAAAGGGAGATATTGATGGGTGGCCATTTTTGTAATCTCCCTCAAACCCCTCTTAAAGTTTTGGCTGTTTCTAGGGGAGTCCAACATGAACTATAACCTGGACTTGTACAATTGCACTTTCCCGGCACTCATTGAAGACTGGCGTCAAACCTTCCACTATGGCTCCCAGAAGCAGACGGAACGTTTTTTCCCCTTTGGATTTGTCCAGGTATGTGTTGAGAGGAAGAGAGTTTGTGGCAATTAGTGTGGAGATACATTGTTTCAATCTTCCATGAATTCTTACTCTCTTTTCACCCATCAGAGGACCTATCATTGCTATGTGCCACTGACTTGAATTGACTCATAGCTGACCCTTCAGTGGGTTTTTACAGGCTGTAAATCACACAGGAGGAGATGACTCATCTTTCTCCTGTGGGTCAGCTGGTGGATTAGAAAAGGCTGCCTTTGGGTTGGCAGGACAACTCTTACCCAGAAGGTCTAATTCATCTCACTTTACTGATGGGATAATGACATTTTTTTTAAGTTAGTAAATGATGAATATTTCTTACTGAAAATGCAATGCACATTCATTGAAGAAATAGTAAAAGGGATGATAAGGGGGGAAAGAAGAAGCTAAACAACATTTACAATTCCATTAACTAGAAATAAGCAGATCTGCCTTTAGTCACCTTTCAAGTCTGGGACTGAAATCACCCCTGTGACACAACTTCCAGCAAAATAACATGCCTATCAGGGAGCGCTTGTCGTCCTCAGGGTTTTGATATGCCAACCCAAAGGCTGTCCCTCTTTGGGGGTTTGAATCAACCAGTTGCTCTCTGGGAGAAATACCAGGTAACTCTTCTTGTGCGATTTACATTCTCAAATCCAAGGAAGGATGGTCAGCTATCAGTCAGTTCTGACTAAGCAGCAATGAGTACAAGGTGATCAGTAACATCAAGGAAGAACACGTTCCTTAGAACAATCAGCTGTACAAGGTCAGTAGGGCACCATTTGCCAAGGCATAAGGCTCAGGAAGAAGGAGGGGATGAGAATGGATGGAAACAGAAATGTGAAGAGCACTGTTACAATGTGGGAATTATAATCAGTGTCACAAAATGTAATATGTATGACTTGCTGGATGGAAAATCAATCTGCTTTGCAAACTTTCCCTCAAATTACAACATAAAATTAAAAAAAAAAGAGCATCAGCTCTTTTGGAATAAATATATAATGCTTTAAAAGTAGGATCTTGGATTTTATTATAATATCCAAACCTTTTCTCTTAATGTCATATTGTGAATGGTTTTTTTTTCATGTCATCAAATATGAGTCTTCAAAACTCAGATTGCTGTCAAATCGCAACTACCTCATAGCTGCTGCTCCGTTAGATTTCCAAGGCTGTAAATTGCATGGGAAGAGAATGCCTATCTTTCTGTCCAGAGCTAGTGGATGCAAATCATCAGAGATGCATGGCTTTTCATTTAGCAGCACAAGCTTCTGTAGTCTAGGCCAGAGCTGCCTAATATAAGCAACGGCTTATCTATTTTCCTAGTAACTAAACCACTGAATACATGTTTAGTTATTGCTAGGTCAGAAGGCAAGTTTATAAAAGCTTTGCTCAGGTTCCCAAATTTCTCTGTGCAATGATTATATGAATTTATACTCTTGGTTCACAACTTTGCATCCTCCTTAACTCAGTTATTATTTGTCCCACTCACCAGAAGAGATACGCTTTGTCACTCTTGGACAATTGCATATGCTTTTTGTCTGGAATGATGTTTCTCCTAGCTTCTCTTATTTTCACAGCTAACTCTTAATCATCCTTTAGGTTTCAGTCTGAATATAAGTTAGTCTGCTGTGACTTTTCCAAGTCTGGGTTAGATGGGTCCCTCTTCCTGGAATGCTTCCTTAATGCCCTCTAATATTTGACCAGTTTATAATTGTCTTGCCTTACCTGTTCATAATCCTACTTCAAGACATAGACTTTTTCCCCCCCAAGCAGGTTGGTAATTTTGGCTTTTCTGAGGCATCAGAAATTAAATAAGTAAGTGATTTTCTCCTTTCTTAAAAGGGTAAACCAACAGAATGTGGAAATTATAGAACAATATAAATATCACATACAAGTAAAATCTTACTGAAGATTATTTAAAAATGGCTAACACAATACATTAACAGGGAACTGCCAGTTATTCAAACTGGGTTCAGAAGAGCCTGTGGTATTAGGGGTATCATTGATGAAGCCAGGTGGATTTTGACTGAAAGCAAACATTACTAGTAAGGTGTTTATTTATGTCTTATTGACTATGAAAATGCATTTGACTGTGTGGATCCTAACAAATGATAGCTAACAATGAGAAGAATGGGAATCTCAGAGCACTTAATTGTGCTCAAGTTAGACCTATACATAGACCAAGAAGGAGTTGTCTGAGTAAACAAAGGAACACTGCATGGTTTAAAAATCAGGGAATGTATGCATCAGGGCTGTATCTTTTGTCCTCACCGATTCAATCTGTATGATGAGCAGATAATTTGAGAAACTGTACTATATGGAGAAGAATGTGGCATCAGGAGTGGAGGAAGACACAACCACCACCTGCGTTATGCAGATGACAACCTTGCTTACTTAAAGTGAAGAAGAGTTGAAACAATTGCTGCAGAAGATCAAAGACTACAGTTTTTAATATGGATTACATCTCAACATCACAAAAACAACATCTTCACCACTGGATCAATAGACAACATCATGATGCATGGAGGAAAGATTGAAGTTGTCAACAATATCATTTTACTTGAATCCAAAGACAACACCTTTGGCACTAGCCAAATGAATGGTGGAAAAATAGAGCCTACTAGAACACAGTAACAGGGTTGGCTTTTACCTTGAGTTGAGTATAGGTAGTACACGTAATTCAAGACTTATACTCCTACATAATCCAAGAATTACATTCTTATCTTCTTCCCAGCCCCCTTTCCATATCTTAGCTCATTATATACTTTTTAAAAAATTAAACATTTATAGACCTTATTTCCATTTCACATTTTTATAATTATTCCCCTTTGTTTTTAACTTTGAAACAAATTCATTTGGCTTGTTTTCAAAAGCAGCTCATACCACCAATTCTCTGTTACTATTGATGGAAATGATATTTGGACATTTGAGGTTCTTTTTATCACTTTGCTGTCTTTCAGCCTGTGTACATGGTGATTTGAACGAGATACTTTAGCATTTCAAACTTAAAGTATGTGTTGAATGCTTATTATATGTTGTGAACCATGGAAGGTGTGCGAATGTAGCAGCAATCAGAGAGAAGATTTTGTATTTATGCATTATGGTTTAGAATCAGCCTGTGTGCTGATTATTAACTGGAAAAAAATGTTGCTTACTTACAGGAAAAGAGGACTATGAACATTTTGCTTATTAATTTTAATGAGGAATATGGCTTCTACCAGCAATGGAAATACCAGATGACATCATAAAAGTTCAGAGTATTACATCTGGAGTTAATCTGCCTGCATTAAAATCTCAGCTCTGACAAGTTTATAGCAATGTGATTTCAAACAAGCTATTTGACTTCTTGGTTATTTTAGATAAGAAATTAGTTCCTTCTTATAAAGCCTGGAACACAACAAGCACTGGAGAAGAATGCACGGTGGCCTAGTGCCAAAAAGCTGCACTGTGGAGGAAAATGTGCAACAATGAATGAATGGAATAAAAGTTCTCTTTAAACTTTCATTAAAAAAAAAAAGGCTACATTGCAATCCCAAAGACACATGGTTCAAATCCTCCAGCTGCTCTGCAAGAGAAGGATGGGCAATTTCCTCCCGTGTGAGTAGCTGCTTCTGAAAATCTGCCATAGGGCCAGTGATGGGTTGGTTCTTCTTGATGCAACAACAACAACAACAACAACAACAACAAATTGGTATTAATGAGAGAGATGAGGAAATGTGGGCAGATGGTGTAGAAGAAAGGATAAAGTGATTTTTTAGAAATGCTGTTTGTGGGGAGCCAAAGTAAAGCATAGAAGAGAAAGAAGGGCAGAAGTCTTGAGACTGCAATTTTGGAGATTCCCCCCCTTCTGTACTTTTTTGGTATGCATATAATGATACATTGTGTTTCATTCATGTACATAGTGGGGTTTTGTGTGTGTGTTTCACACTTTCCTTCATTGACATTATGTTTTATAAAATTAATCACCATTGGACTGTGCCCAACGTTAACCTGTCTTTTCGGGTCTCTGCCACATCTCTCCCATTTCATTTACCTTTCCCTCCTCCTACCAAATTTTATGATGCTATGATTTCCCCCTACCCATCCTCATCCCCTGCTCTCACATGCACCTTCCTTAGACCTCTGTACACATTTTGCTAGTTACCCTTCTATTTTTACAATAATGGTCTTATATCACATTTGTCATGTGATACTGAGTTCACTCAGCATAATGCTCTCCAAATTCTCCCAAGTTATGTAGTAGTTTTTGAAAGCATTGCTTCTGAGTGCTGCATTCCATTCTGTGAATGTACCACAATTTCTCTATCCATTCTTTTGTGGTTGGATATTTGGATTGTTTCCATGTTCTTGCAATGGTGAATAATGCTGCTATGAACATTGGTGTACAAATCTCCGTTATGTACCAGTAGAATAGCTGGGTTATATGGAGTTTCAGTGTTCAACTTTTTTGAGAAAACTCCAAATTGCCTTCAGAGTGGTTGTACCATTTTACAGTCCCACTAACAGTGTATGAAAGTTCTAATCTCTCCACATCCTCTACAAAAATTTTTGTTTTGCTGTCAAACTTTGCCACTACTACTGGAGTGAGATGGCATCTCATTGTAGTTTTGAGACCTTGAGTAAGCAAAACACTTCTGAAAAACAAAAATGAAGTGGGAGGCATAGCACTCCCTGACCTCAAAACCTACTACACAATAGTAATAACCAAAACAGCATGGCACTGGTATAACGACAGGCACATAGACCAAGGAACAGAATAGAGAACTTAGAAATAAACCCATCTCTCTATGGTCAACTGATAATTCAACATGGGAACAAAAATCTATCGAGTGGGGAAATGACAACCTCTTCAAAAAATGGTGCAGGCAAAACCAGAATGCTACTAAAATAGGATCCACATCTCACACCCTACACAAAAATCAGCTCAGAGTGGATAAGAGACTTGCGGGTAAAGCCCAAAACCCTAACGACCGTAAGAGACAAATGACACCAAGCTTAGA